AAAAAAAAAAAAAGATCAAGGGAGGCAGTACTGTTAGACATTTCTAAAAGCCTGGGCTCCAGAATTCAAAGCCCAGTTCTGCAAGTTACCGGCCCTGGAAACTATTATGGGCAATGACCTACTTTTTCTGAACTGTAGTCTCCCTATCAGAAAATGAAGACAATAAGAGTCTCCACTGCATAGGACTGCTATAAGGATTTAACAAGATGACGGATGTAAAATACTTAGTAAAATGCTTGGCACATGGCAAGTGCTCAATGATGGCTGCGGCGATTATTACAATTATATGACTGTTCTCACTCGGCAGATGAGGCCACTGAGGCCTGGGGATAAGGGACTCTCCCAAATTACCCAGTCTCATGGCTAGTGAGACGTGGGGGTGGGTGCTATAGAATGCTTTTCTTTTTTTTTTTCTTTTGAGACAGAGTTTCACTCTGTTGCCCAGGCTGGAGTGCAGTGGGGCGATCTTGGCTCACTGCAAGCTCTGCCTCCCAGGTTCATGCCATTCTCCTGCCTCAGCCTCCAGAGCAGCTGGGACTATAGGCGCCTGCCACCATGCCTGGCTAATTTTTTATATTTTTTAGTAGAGATGGGGTTTCACTGTGTTAGTCAGGATGGTCTCTATCTCCTGACCTTGTGATCCACCCGACTCGGCCTCCCAAAGTGCTGGGATTACAGGCGTGAGCCACCGCGCCCAGTCACAACACTTTTCTAAGATTACAGAGCAAACAAGAGGGAAGGCCTGAAATGGGGTTGCAAGCTTCTACTCCTAGGCTTTCTCCCTAGACTGCCTTTTCTCCTTTTGCACTTACCCTTACCCCAATCCAAATATCCAATAATCTTATCTAAACCGAAAGGATGCCTTCTTAGAAAACATCGTCAACAGCACACATGACCAATTTGATGTTCTAGGGCAAATCTGATATAAACTCCATTCTCACACACACCACACCAAGAATTACTTACATAAATCTGTCCCGTACTTGAGTCCCACTTTGGGCACCCAGCCCTTGCTTCGAAAGTAATGGTAGGCCATGTAGGTGGTTCTGAACGTGGGCTGAACTACAGTGAAAGCTTTCCAGAGTTTCACTATCGTTAAAGGCTCCTAAAGTTATTTACAAAAAACAAAAAGCATTACTGTGTATGCATTCTCCCTCCGTTCAGCCAGAGCGTCAACATCTGTACTAAGTGTGGAGCTGAAGCAGCGAATAAAACGCATTTCCCCCAGCACAGCAATTTATTTTATTTTATTTTTGAGACAGAGTCTCGCTCTGTCACCCAGGCTGGAGTGCAGTGGCGCGATCTCGGCTCACTCCCAGTAGAGCAATTTAGCAAGAAGGTCTGGCCCTGCACTGTCCAGTGAGGCAGCTGCCAGCCATACACACCTAGTCTGAACTGAGAGGGGCTCTAAGTGTAAAATACACACTGACTTCCTACTCAGTATGAAAAAAAAAAAATAGGGAATATAAACTATTTCAATAACTTTGAAGTTGGGTTAAATAAACTGTGTAATATTGTATTAAAATTCCACCTGCTTTTTAAAAAACATTTTTAATGTGGCTACCAGAATATCTGAAATTATATACACATGGCTCCCATCTGAGGCTCTCAATGTCCTTCTATTGCACAACACTGCTCCAGAGGACTTAGAAAAGGCAGCATTTGAGCACGAGAAGTAGTGAGGGAAAGGGGCTGGATGGGGGGTGGTGGTGTGCCGGGATGGACATTCCAGGCAGAGGAACCAGCACATGCAGGGGGCTCACTGTAACAAGCCCACCAAGGCTGGAGGGCAGTGCCTGACAACATTTCACAGATCTTTAACGAGTAGCTACTCTATGTCAGATCACGTTCAGAAGAACAAAAAATAATTTTACAGTAAAACTTAAAAAAAAAAAATCCAAAATTTAGTGTTTGAAACTAGAGAATTTATCTGATGGCACAAATTAATAATTAACTGCTTATAAGACAACTTTGTTTTTAATGTGGGAGTCAAAGAGAATGAGAATGGTTTGGTCTAGAGAATATTCTGATGTATCATTACCAAAAATACAATGACAACAAAATAACTAGGTAAGTTTGGAAAATTTTTGCTTCATTTCAGTAGTTACTGAAACAAT